TTTGTGGGGAAGAGGGACACTTGCAGCAGGGATACCTATGGTCCTTCTCAAGTAAAGCTAGATCTACAGCGGAGCGGCAGAGACAGAAAATGGAAAGTGGGGAAGATGTTGCATCGGGATGCATGACAGTGGGGGAGCCGCCACAAGAAGCAAGAGCGGGGGAGGAAGGGAGTGAAATTTCAGTAGTCAAAGTAGTGCAGCTCATGACAGAGGAGGGAAAAAGAAGGAAAGGTAAGTGGAATAAGTGACTTAGAGGAGAGAGAAGGAAAAGAGGAGAGAATGAAGGAAGAAGAAGGCTTGCCAATGTTGCCACCTACATTTCAACTACTTCAGTCTCTTATTAAAGGTGGCTTATAGTGAGCTATTTAGCAGGCAACTTTATTTTTTTTCTGCCATCGAACAAGTGACAAAACAAGTGAGGGAATTTAATTTTTTTTTCTAGCTATAATATGCAAAGCGATTATACTAAGTGGCTTTGCAATAGGTAGATAGATATTAGGATTCTTGCATATTTTCTTCCATACTGTATATTGTAGTGTTTTCTTTAAAAAAAAAAAGTTGTTTCCTTAAATTTGTTAACTGTAATTGTCGACTCAAATAACTGTGTGTGTGTAGACAGAATGGAGAGAGAAAATTCTCAGAATGTGTATCACTAGCATCAACAACCAAATCATCCTGTTACTTTGCTCTTATCTGCTTTTTTTAGAGTACCCAAGAGTTTGTTGTATGTTATCTTAATTTAGATTCTCATCTTGCAGATATTTATGAACTTGCCTGATTTTACCTGTTATTAGTTCCATTGATGTCCACGGGACTGCTTGTGCATTTAATTAAGGACCTATGTAAGACTGCAGGATTGAGCCTGAGGCATGTTCTTATGGGTAGGAGTATACCTGTAATAATCCATATGCAATTATGACTTTACAGTGCCACTGTAACTAAAAAAATTGAGAAGATTGTGAAAAAGAAAAAGAGAAATATACAGTGGACTCAAATTTACAGTGAAATTGTAGGAAGTCTGTTTCCATGGGGAATTCTTTATAATAGCAATAAATAAAGAAATCAGAGTGGATTACTTTCCTGACAGAAATTGCCATGTGAACACAAGTTTATCTGATGGGTCCTTAAAGTATTTAGTTACAAAAAATGGTAGTCCTGGTAGAGGCGTACACACTGATGATAGTGGTGCACTTTTTGCCAAGCAGGGGGAGCTTGAGCACCATTAGTCAGTCATTCACTGCCTTAGGCAGGTAGGTCAGCTTCTTGAGGCTATTTTGTATAGCAAAGCTGGCACCGGCTTCCCATTTGGCTTTGGTGCCATGACCACTCCAGAAGAATATGTAACCAGCTTTTCCTTCTGTGAGCTGCCCTTCGTCGTGTAGGTGAGTCTCACTGAGAGCAGCGATCTGGACATTGTATCTGCCCAGTTATCTCCCGATGAGGGCAGTTCTCCTTTCAGGTCTTTTGGTGTTTCCATCAGTCAATGCACATATGTTCCATGTGCCTACCTTTAGAAAGATTGATTTCTTTCCTTTTTGACCACCGTAATGGGACCTTGCCAGCCAGGGTGAGGTGAAGCAGCCAATGTTGGGGGCACCTTTTCTAGCCCCTTCCTCATTCTGGGAGGTGAGCAGTGTGGTCCCGAATAGGGCTGCTCAGTCACTCAGGGGGCTGTCACATTCTACTGCCACTTCTGTCCAGACCTCCCCAGAGGTTTATTAGGTGCTTAAATATCTTCATAAGTGTCCTTTTTCTCTGATCCCATAAATTCTTCTACTTGTGAATTTATGCTGGTTTCACTGTAATAATCAACATGAATAAAACTGAACATGTGCATAAATATTATACTAATTGCAATCTAATTATTTTTAACAAAACAGAAAGAAATAATAGCACTAGAATAAATAAGAACCCAAAGGTGCAAACTCTCCCCTTTGGCTCAGTTATGAGGGGTTTTTTTTTAAAGACAATGGAATATATTAAAAAAACCCCAAACAAACAAGAAATCAAGAAACCTTGTATTTAGCTCATTTGTGCAGAGCTCATGCTATAACAGATTTATCTAAGCACAAAATGTTGTCATAACCTTTGTTCTCTTTTTCTCTGTGGCCTCTTCCTCCACAATCATGCGTGTTGCTTTTAGGCACTGTATTACATCTAATTAAACTGGAAACTCCCCAGGAAAGAGTTTATATCACGTTCAGACTGTGAAGAACCTGACAATGTTTGGGTCCTGTATAGATAGCAGATATATTAAATTATATAGGAATGGCAATTTCCTTGAAAACCTGAAACAAAGCTTGATTAAAATAGTTCATCCAGGTTATTAAAAAAATTAATCTGGCAGTGCTGTCCTATAATACAGACCTTGCTTTCTCTTTAAAGAGAATGTAAGAATACATGACCCATCACTGATTACATGTGCACTATTAATTTTGGTGCTTGTTCTTCATTACTGCTTTAAGTTACATTTCATCCTTATTTGGACTTCTGTGAACCAACAGAAAAGTTGACTAGCCTATGCTCTTGCTGCCTTTGAAAGTTATTTTAAAACTGTCAGTGAAACAGACAAAAGCCAGCAGTAACCTTTTTGATATATAGCAGAAGCTGAGAACCCTTAAAGAAAAGAAGAAACAAGGATATAAGCAGCTTTTCTCCAGCTCTGGGAAGAAGATGGTGATTGCAGTGTGTTGTTAGTTTACACCACACCGTCTTTATTTACCCTGGGGTGAACCTGCCCTACAGGATACAACGTAAACCATAAATCATCAAACACCAAGTGCAAAACAATAAAGAGTTAATTAAGCCCTGTGGTCTTTTTCCAGACCCTGAGAGAGTACCCAGTCTCAATGATTCCACCTCTAGACTCATAACCTTCCCCCTCCTCCCAGCACCCTTCCCTGTGATCCCTGAGACATGCACCCTGCTACAGCCTCCCCTCCCCACAAGCCTAGAACACTCTTCCATTTCTTTATCTCCCCCATACCCCAGAGAAGAAATCTGCATTTGCATGTGCTGACCCCCAGTGATGGTGTATTGAAAAGCCAAAAGGCTGCAGGGACAGGTACCACCTTGTCAGATGAGGGTTAACCTCTCTCATAGCATTGATCCATGTTAATGGGGCATGGTCTGTGACAAACTGGAAATGAGCCCCTAGGACAAGGGTTGTCAGCCAGGGGTATATGTATCCTCAGGGGTACTTAGAAACGTATTAGGGGTACGCATGGGTGGGTGGGCAAGAAAGGAGCATGCCCTGGAGCATGGCAGTGTCATCTACCCCAGTACGTTCACCTCTTGGGGGTGGGGAGGTATGTGCCGGGCACTGCCAGCCCCACTGCAGCATCTCTCTGCCCCTCCACAACACACTGCACCACCTCCCTGCCTCCCACTGCAGCTCACTCTCCAGATTGCTGCAAAGGTCTGAAGGGGGGGCAGGGAGGGAAGAGTGTGTTTGGTGCCCACCCCTGGCAGCATATGATTGACCAAGCACAAGGCCAGTCAGCAGCCCACAGAGCTGAGACTGGCCATGGAAAAGCGGTTCAGTACGTGGCCAAGCAGACCACTGGCAGTGGTGGCAGTAGCTGCATGTGAGCACCTTCTGTTCAGTCCCCACTCCCAGGGCCGCCACTATGCAACCTCCACAATGTTCTGGGGACTGTACTACTTTAGCGCTGGGGGGCGGGGAGCAGATCGAGGCCCCTGCAGTGAGGGAGGGAGTGGGGCAGGAGGAGGGGCTGGGGTGAGTGGGGCCCTGGCCAGGCTGGGTGGAGGGACAAGCAGAGGCCCAGGGCTCGGCCTCCCTAGGGCTCCACTCACCCCATCCTCAACTCCTGCCTGCGCCCTGCTCCCTCCCTCACCGCAGGGGTCTCAATCTGCCCCTGCATGGCCCTTCCTCCTTCCCCCAGACTTACCTGCTAGGGGGGTGTAACAGGGGGCCTTCTTGGGGCTGATTTCCCTGTGGCCCGCCCACCTATTTCTGGGCTAACCACTCGCCTTCTTGCCTGTCACACCTTGATGTAAATTAATTAATTGTTGTTAATTAAGTGGGAGGCTGCCCATTTCTTGCCCCGATGCCAGGGGGTGCTATCTGTTGCTCCGTACTTCCCCTACACCACAGCCCATGCCTTGCAGATGACATCCTCTGTTGTCAACATCACTGGCCCCACTCTGGGCCCCAGAATCCTACTATTTGAACCCCACCTGGATCCCTCCACTCAGGCGGCCTACTCCACCTCCATTCTAGGCTGCATAGCTCCCTGATCTGCTCCCCCTTATGGTTGTGGTCCCCCTGGGACCTTTGGATACTTTGGCCCTGGCCCCACTTCCAGGCCAGTTGGAACCCCAGGCCCTCAGCTCTGAGCGTCCCTCATGGTGGGACCCTGGCCCTTCGACCCTTCCAGTCCTGGCCCCAGCATTAACCAGTCGGGGGATGTCAAGACAGGTTTCTGAGTCTATGGCCCCACTCTCTCACTGGGGTCCACCTTGTGGACTCTACAAGGGGGTAACCCACCTGGTTGTGGGAGCTGGGTTTAAGGCGCCGCAACCTGCCTTTCACTGGGGTACTAACTGGCCTGGCATTTCCTGGGGGCTCCCGTACCCAAGAGCCCCACCGGGCCACCCACTCCCAGCAGGGTGCAGTTTTAGGTCATGCCCAGGACCAGGAGCATCCTAACCATCCCCTACAGCTCCTCCCTTACCACCGGGGTGTTCCATGAAGTCTCACAGCCATGTGATGTTGTTGTACCTTCAGCCAGAAGCAAAATGCCCTGTTTATATGGATGGCCAGAGCTCTAAAATGGCTGCCACAATTAAGCACCTTCTGGCTGCTTGGCCCCACATCTTAAAGTGGCAGGCACAAACAGTACCCTGCCATGGGGGGGGGCACATGTACGTGTGCTCTGAGCCCCCCAAATTATTTTTTCTCTCTGTCTATGCAGCACCTGCCCCAGCCCCACTCCCTCCCTTCTTGCAAGGGCCTCGATCTAAACCGCAACCCCCCCGCACCATTTAAAACAAGAAAAAATATAAAGGGGTACATGAACTGAAACTTTGAGACCAAAGGGGTACACATGTTAAAAAAGTTTGAAAACCCTTGCTCTAGGAGGTAGTAGCAGAGTGTCTCCATTGCCCGTTTAATCACCAGACACTCCTTTTCTATTATAGCATACTTTTGCTCCCGGGGAAAGAGCTTCCTACTTAGATACAGGATGGAGTTTTCCCCATCCTTAAGCTCTTTGGAGCAGACTGATCCCAGGCCTTGCTCTGAGGCATCCATCTATATAATATACTCTTTTGTCAGTTCGGACTGTGCAGGACTGGTGAGCTGCATGGTAGCCTTTTTACAGTCCCAAATGCTGTCTCACATTTGGGTGACCAGCGGATCCTTTGCAGTGTCCCTTTTTGCAACAGGTCCATTAGTGAGGCCATGATGTCAGAATGCACCACTGATAACAGCTCCTTAAGCCTGGAAATGACTTCAGTTGCTTTTCTGTCATTGGCACTGGTGACTCTACTAAGGCCCTTACCTTGTCACCCAGGGACCTAAGTTTGCCATTGCTCAGAATATGTTCTAGATATACCTCCATTAATCATTAATTTGGAAGCGGTAGTCCCCAGAACATTGTGAAGACCATAATATCACAAGATGCTGGGTCCAAAGGTATCTGCCAGTATCCTTTGGTTAAGTCCAGGATGGTTATGTATCTTGTGTTGTCTATACTCTCCACCATTTCATCTATTCTGGGCATAGGTATGAATTACACTTTGAAACTGCATTAACCTTGAAGAAGTTGATTCAGAACCTTATGGTATGGTTAGGTTTTGGCATCAGCCCAATCCACTCACTGGTTGGTTCTTTTATGACCCGCAAAGCCAACATTTTCTTAATCTCCTGTTTTACTGTTTCCCTGAGCCAGTCTGGAATTCTTGAATATCCCTTCTGGGATGCACATCCCATCCTGAGGATAATGTGGTGTTTGACTATGGTAGTTCTTCCTGGGGTCACTGTGAACACCTCTTTAAATTCCTTTAGTAGGGCTCTAATTTCAACCTGTTGAGTTGGGGACAGTTTCCCCCAGCTAAAGGTCAACTGGATCTAAGGGAGGTGGTCCTGAGCCCCTGGACTAGCTCTCAGAAAACTTGTGGAGGCCATATACATCTCTTACGCCCTCCAGAGTTTTAACAGGTTAACATGATACATCTGTGAACCCCACCTTTTCCCCACTAGGTGCACTTCATATTCCATGTGGCCTACCTTCTGTAAGATCTCAAAAAGGCCTTGCCATTTTACCAACAGCTTACTTTCAGAGGATGGGAGCAACAGTACTACTCAATCTCTGGGCTGATAAACCTGTAGCCTGGCATTTTTATTATACTGATGTTCTTGTGCCTGTTTGGCAGCCATGAGATTTTCCTTTGCAAGGGATCCTATGAAGTCTAATCTTCCTTGCAGCTTCAGGACATCCTGGACTACATTCTGGGTGTGAGTCCTTGGGCCCACCAGGATTCTCATAGGAGGTCCTGGGGCTACCTTCTGTATAGCAATTTGAAGGGTGAAAAGCCTGTGGAGGATTGTGAAACCTCTTAAAGGGCAAATAACAAGTAGGGCAATGCTTGATTTCAATTTTGCAGCTCCCTGGTAACAATTTTTTACAGCAGTCCCTTCAGAGTTTGGTTACATCTTTTGACCAGGCCATCTGTTTGGGGTTGGTACACTGAAGTCCTTACTGAACGTATTTTCAATAAGGCCCAGACTTCTTGTAATAGCCAGGACATAAAGGCTGTACCCTGGTCAGTTAAGACTTCTCTTGGAATGCCTACCCAGGAAAATATCTGCAGTATCTGGGATGCCAGCATCTGTGTTGATGCTAAGCAGACCACTACTGCTTTGGGGTAGCTGGTGGCATAGTCAATGAAGACAAGGATGAATCTGGATCCTCTTGGGCTAGGTTTGAGAGATTCCAGAAAGTTAATTTTGACCTGCTCATAAGGTATACCAACCACTGGGACAGGCACAAGTGGGGCCTTAGATGTGAACTGGGGTGCAACCAGTTGGCAGGAAGCACAATACTCTTTGATCTCCTGGTATACCCCAGAAAAACCTTCCCAGCTCTCTCTATTTCTTCTCTATCCCCAAATGCCCTCTACCCCAAGGGCACATCATAGGCGAGCTTCAAAATCTGCCTGCGGTATGGCCTTGGGATTAATAGTTGCGACTGTCAGGACCCTGTGGTTTTGTCCCTGGTCACTCTCACCAGGAAGTCACTCTGCAGCTCAAAATGAGGATCCTGGGTGGCTAGATATTCATCTATGATGATCTCATTGGCCTGACCCAATCATCCATATAGAAGGCCATATTCTGGGTCCTCCCATTGGTCTCCAACAAATTCCTGGCCTTCCCACACCTGATCCAGTACCCCCTCTCAAAGAGTTCCAGAGTTTCCCTGACTGCTGCACAGATGAGTTTTGCCCTTTGATGCAATGTTCTGTCATGCCTCAGGAGCACAGTTGTTGATCACTGTAGAAAGGTGCATGTCTCAGGGGCTACACACTGCTGCAGGCAGTGAGAAAGAGACTACATGCCTATCTAGGAGGACTGGGCCAGCTGGTGTGGCTGATTAGCTGGCTCAAAGGACATTAAAAGCTGCCAGGGAATGGAGCTGGGGGGAGACAGAAGGCTATGAGACTAGAGGCAGCAGTATTGAGCCAGGTTACTTTCTCAAGAACTCTGCCCCCTCCAGAGGGGGGTCCCAGATTATACTGGACGCCAAACATTTTCCCTGCATATTTCTCTGATGGCTGGAAAAGGCCTCCCATCTGCCCCATCTCCACTCCTGGTATCACCTGAGTTGAGGCTCAAAAAGCTCTGGGTCTAAAAATGGGAAAAAAACCCTAGCACTAGTTCAGTGGTGCTGTGGTCAGCCTGGCTTCTCTGTACCCATAATACCAATTGGATTAGTTTGGCCATTGAGCCCCAGTCTCACCCCACCACTATGAGGTACACTAGGTGGAAGGCCACCCTAGCCCTTATGTGGCCTTCCTTTCTTCCAAAGGTCAAGCTTAGGTGCATTAAACGGCAGGGCTGGGTATCCCCATATAATATACATGTATGTCTGACAGATTCATGAATCATTTGTGTGTGTATGTCTGGCCAAAGCTGGAGTCTGTAAGCCCTACAACATAGGCATTTCTGACTTTGTCCATATCCTCTTAGGTCTGGGTTTTCTCACTCTGCCTCCGAGACATAGGCATGTGTGTAGCTACAGTCCATCTGTGGGCAGTCCTACAATCAATGTCCCTTTTTTCCACATCAGAAGCATGTTGTTTGTGCCTTTCTTCCCTTTTCTGGGTTGCAGGGAGGAACCAGGGGGCTTTTGTTCCTAGAGGGGTCACCCAAGGCCCTTCTTTCTGGCTGGGGTCATGGTGGTGATCGAGGAAATGCTGCTACCAGCATTTCCCTAAAGACCTAGGCAGTTTTTCCCATAACCCCAGCTTCCTTGAGCCCAGAGGGGACAGATGGCCAAACATGAGCCCCAGGCAGTCTTCAGGGTATACGAAAGATGAGGCAAATTCTCTTTTCAATCTGTTCTAAAATGATGGGCTGATTAGAACAGTGAACTCTTTTAGGGCTTGATTCAACTCCCGTTGGAATCAATGAGATTCTTTCCATGGACTTGAATGCAGAGACAGCTAAAATATTGTCTGTTCACCAGTTCAACTTTTGAACTTTCCATCACATCTCACTTTCTCTCAAAGAAACCAGTCATTCTTATTGCTTTCTAAAATTGATGAAACTATCGTGATATCTTCATAGTCTTGTTTAAAATATTTAGCTTAGAAAACAAGAGGCTGGATTACCCCTAGATCTTGTATTATGAGAAATAATAAATCCCTATTTACTTTCTCTTCATGATTTATTTTGTAAACCAGGGGTGGGGAAAATATGGCCTATAGGCCGGATCCAGCCCACGAGAACATTCTATCAGGCCCCTGGGGCCCCTACAAAATTTAGAAAATTAATATTGATCTTATTGATACCCTCAAAGAACTCTAGTAGCTCAGTGGGATATTATTCCCCTTTGAAAAAGCCATGTTGATTCTTCCTCAACAAGTCATGTGCATTCATATGCTAAAGATTTTTTAAATTATGATTATTGTTTCTACCAGTCTTCCAGGAATAGAAGTAAGACTCACTGGCTCCATTTACACATGAGCCTATCTGCCAAGTAGACTAATTAGCTGTGGAGTAAAGCATCACTGTCTACATGTGTGATGGTATTAGGCTGTAGTAAACTAATTAACACTGCAGTAGATAGTACTGTCGAGGACATTACTATCTTACACCAGGGTAATTTATTGCAATTAAACACACATATAAATGCTGGCTGTGAGTGTAAATTGTGCCCAGTCAGCCCAGCCAGCCAGGGGCCAGATTTCTGCCTGTCACCTTGCCACACAGCTCCATACTTTCAGCACCCTTGTGCCCCAGCCAGCTCCTCTGACACCATCACCTGGAGCCTGAGGCTGACTCATTGTGTCCCCTACAAGCCTGGGCCTACTCTGCCCTGGCTAAAACTGCTGCAGAATTTATTGCTTCATATTAATTGCATGTCTAGATGCACCCATTGGTCTATATTTCCCTCTATCCCCTCTAGACCTTTTCAAAATACAGGAATCACATTGGCAATCCTCTAGACCCTGGTACTGAGTCTATTTTTAGTGATAGGTTGCATACTATGGTTAGGAGTTCAGCAATTTCCAATATGAGCTCCTTTAGGACCCTAGGGTGTATGCCATCAGGTACTGTTTAGTTTATCAATTTCCTATACAACCTGACCTACTGAAACTTCAGTATGGGTCAGCTCCACTGACTTGCCCCTCCAGAGGAATGGCTCTGGTGAGGGAACCTCCCTAACATTTTCCACATACTATGGTCAATAAACATGTGCAGATGTAAAGATGTTCAGGTCTTTAGCAAGGAACTAATCTTTTTTTCCCCTGAAGCTATGCACAGACCCTCTGAATCTTCTTTTGGTTACTTCCAAGGCAGGTGCTTTATGTTAATTTGAGCAGACTTACAGAATAGTACTGGATGTACTCTGCATGTAATTGGAATAGGGTACCATTGGCCAAAATTCCTGTAGTCAGCCATGTCTTAAGCAATTTTCTTCAAATAAAAAAGTGCTTAATCACTGAATTTGCTGTGTGCACTGTGTCATTCACCCATGTCAGTGACATATGGCAGCAGAAATGTTGTGGAAACTGGAAAATACAAAAGGCTCAGAAAATTCTCTGATTGTGCAAACTAAAAGCTCAGGACAAAATTCTGTCTGCATATATATATATATATATATATGAATGTAATTCCCAATGATATTGTACTCTTATTTTGTACTAGTTTACTAAATACTTTTATAATAATATAATAAGATTTGTTTATTGTGAGCTTGCAATAAAGGAATAAGAAAATGTAATGCTTTACTACTATACAGTGGTTAAGACAATGCAATTCTCTTGAACCATTATCTTAAAGGCTGCAGTTATCAGTGAAATATAAGAAAACTGATGATTACAATGTGTTTTATTCTTCTATAAATGGGCTTGATTCCAACAGCAAGTCTAATGAGAAAACAGGACCATATCATGTGCACATGTTAAACAGAAGAGCTTAATTACAATTAATGTGCTAAATGATTCAATTCACCGCTTGTTCTCCTACCCAGATCTCTCTAAACACAACAACCATATAAAATCAAAGAGTTCCAAGCCAGAAGGCTGTTCCAGGAACACTCCCCCATTTGGTTCAGCATTCCAACACTTCGTCTTCTTTTGATCATTTTTAAATCACAGATCCTATTTTTATTTCTTTTCTCTATTTTTTCTTTCCTTCTGTGTATTTTTTGTTGCATATTTTTGCAACTCTTTTAAAACATTTCTTACTTTGGAGGTTGTGTTTCGTTCATTTTCTTTCCCCTCCAACACCTTGTCAAATGTATTTTCTATTTCTTCTCTGGTTTTCTCCCAGTTCATTTCTTCAGCAAAATCTCCTTAACATGTGCATGCTGTTTGTCTCATTCACACCTCATGCCTGTTCTTGTTTCTGTGCCCCTAAAATGGCGTTCCTGGCTCTCTTTCATCCTCTAATTTGTTTCTTAACCAGTCCCATCTGTTCACTCTCTCATGTTATGGGCAGTCTCCCAATCCAGAATCTTATAAAGCGTTCTTAATACATTTGCAAGACTAATGCTGCCCCATTGGCTTTCAGCGGTATAAGAAACAGAATTGGCTCCAAGGCAAACCCTG